AATAAAATGCTGAGAAGGCAAGGAAGAAGCTTCAGTGGGGGAAAGGCATAGATCAGGTTGAACTGATTCCACAGAGTCACAAGAGCATCCACTGTGAAGGCCCAAGGATCCCTAGTCCTGGCCACAAACCTGTCCAGTTCGTTGTTGAATCTTGAGGCCAGGAGATTCACTTCTAGCTGCCCCCACTTGGGGGTCTGTTGTCATAATCTTACAGTGTCACAATGACAAACATCTTAGTTTGAGCATTCAATCTGATCATTCGGCCAAAGAAAGGTTAAACATGACCCAAACTGGCAGCATGTTCTGTTGCAAAGTCCTGGAGTGAAATCGAGCAAATGGAACAGCCTCGAAATTTCCAGTTAGACTTACCGGTAACAGTATTTCTGGGAACCGTGCAGGACAGCACCCTGAGAGAGATGACTGGCTCCTCCTTCTACAGGAAGCACAATTGAGAGTAGCTTAAAATATGTATCCCACCCCCCTCAGTAGAGATAAAAGTAGACTACTTCCACCAGTGCACGAGTGAAACATCACCACACATCATAATACATACGTGTATGGTGGAAAGTAGGCTTGCTGTCCTGGAAGATTCCCAGAAATACCGTTACCGTTAAGTCTAACTGGGAATTTCTCCAATCTTCCAGGATGGCAAATCGGAGAGGATAAGCAAGCACACCAACAAGCCTATTTTCTCAGGGCAGGACCACAGACTAATACTTTCCTGCCAAAAGCAAGGTCCTGCTGTGACAGAACTTCCTCTCTGTCAAGCCTTAGGAAGATATCGGGTCTTGACCAAAAAGCTGCTCTGCAGATGTGTTCCACCGAAGCCCCAGCTCAATTCTTCCCAAGAGGTGGCTAAAGATCTAGAAGAATGAGCTTTTACCTCAGTTGGCAAATCCTGACCCTCTAATTTATAGACCAACGTAATTGTCTGTTATCCATCTTGCTATAGAAACTTTTGAAGCCTGCAATCCTTTATTTCCAAAAGAAAACAAAACAAAACAAAAAAAAAAAAATCGACTATTTTCAGAAATTTCTTGTCATGTCTAGATATTTAAGGGAGACCGTCTAACATCCAGCGTATGCAACGCCTCCTTGCTAGGATCCAGGGGATTGTCACAAAAGGAGGGTAAAACAATCTCCTGAGACTTATGAAAGGCGGAAGACACTTTTGGCAAATATAAGGGGTCTGGTCTAAGAATTACTCTATCCGGGAGAACAGCAAGACAAGGATCTTTAATAGATAGTGCCTGGAGCGTCCCTACCCTTCTGGCTGAATTTTAAGCATCAAATACTTAATAGAAATACTGGCAATAGGTTCAAAAGGAGGTCTTGAGAGTCCTCCCAATACCAACGAAAGATACCAGGGAGAAAAAACCTTATTCTAAAAAAGGGCATGAATATTCCAGGGCCCTAAGAAATTGTTTCACCAAAAAGGTTCCCCCAGCAATTTTTGTTATAAAAACAAGGAAAGAGCGGATAATTGCTAAGGGCCAGGTTTCTTTCGAAACCATCCTGCAAAAAAAATGCAAGACTAACGGAACCGAAGGAGAAACAAATAATTGTGTGTGAACACCAGGAAGGAAAAAAAAAAACAAACAAAAAAAAAAACACCACAACAACTTTCCAAACTTTGACATATATATTTTCTGAAGCAAAAATGTTTTGAGATGCAGATCCTTCCTTTCTGGAGACCAACCCCTGGTACATTAGTAACAAAAAAGAGAAAGGGATAGAAAAAGGTGGGGGTTTTAAGTGGCTACAGAAGGGACACATCCAATAAACTTCAGTCTCATAGGAGGTATATAAAAAAAAGTATAAATTTATTAAACAAATGACTAAAATCAATAGATATGCATAAAAGCATATATACAAACATATAACATCAGGGAATACAAATAACTCCCATCAACCCTTGTGCTCCACAACCAAGGTTAACCTATATAATCATTTTATTGCAAACTCATGTCAGTTGCACAAGCGCTTTCGGGGGCCACACAGGGTCCCTTCATCAGGCATAGCAATGGCCGCTCTATAATCCCCCCCGATGGTGCAAATAGGCAACCGTGGTGGAGTTGTCTTGGAAAACGTGTACATCTCGACCCTTCAGGATCGACTGAAAAGCGGTCAATGCTTCTTGAACCGCTGGAAGATCCTTCATGGTTTGAAGAAGCTCCCTTTACTATGCGAGGCCAGGGTCCCTGAGCATGAAGCCCCTGAGCATGAACCCCTGATCGCCAGAAGCTTGCATCTGTGGTAATTTTTACCGTATTTAATTGATTCCATAGCCTGTCCATTGGACAGTCTTTCCAAATATGTCCACTAATAGAGACTGTCGCACAGGTACTGTAAGCTGGACTCTGAGATCCATAGTCTCTCTCCTGTCCCATTTTGACAGCAGAAGTGCTGAAGAGGCCTTGTGTGAAGTTGAGCTCAATTTAAAGCAGTCATGATCTCCCTTAAAGTTATAAAGTCCTTGGTGATTGTCTTTTGTGTCAAGTCTAGAGTATTGTGGACTCTCTCTTTCGTAAGGAACAATTTGAGTAATTGAGTCTATCAGGAAACCCAGAAAGACTACAGACTGGGTTGGAACTAGGGAAGACTTTTCCAGATTCAATATCCATCTCAGTTTCTCCAGCAATTCCATGACCTTCTGCAGGCTCTGAAGAAGCATAAATTAGAATATCGTCTAGATAGGCAATTAGAAAATCCCCCTGAAGATATAAAAGGCAGACATTGCTTCTGACAAAACTTGTGAAGATTCTTGGGGCTGCAAAAGGGCCAAAAAGGAAGAGCCCTGAACTGCCACTTTCCCCTTCGGTACTACAAACCAGAGAAATTTTTGATCCACCAAGGCAATTGGGGTGTGGAGAGGAGAATCTTTTAGATAGAGATTGACCATAAACACCGATTTGCTGAGTGTCTTTCGCACAGAGTAACACTCTCCATGCGAAACTTCTTGATCAACCACAACCGATTTAATTTCTTTAGGTTTAGGATCATTCTGAATCTTCCCCCAGGTTTGGGGACTAGAAATACACTATATTGCCAAAAGTATTGGGATGCCTGACTTTACACGCACATGTACACGCACATGAACATTAATGGCATCCCAATCTTAGTCCGTAGGGTTCAATATTGAGTTGGCTCCGCCCTTTGCAGCTATAACAGCTTCAATTCTTCTGGGAAGGCTGTCCACAAGGTTTAGGAGTGGGTCTATGGGAATGTTTGACCATTCTTCCAGAAGTGCATTTGTGAGGTCAGGTACTGATGTTGGACGAGAAGGCCTGGCTTGCAGTCTCCTCTCTAATTCATCACAAAGGTGTTCTATCGGGTTGAGGTCAGGACTCTGTGCAGGCCAGTCAAGTTCCTCCACCCCAAACTCGCTCATCCATGTCTTTATGGACCTTGCTTTGTGCACTGGTGCGGAGTCATGTTAAAACAGGAAGGGGACATACCCAAACTGCTCCCACAAAGTTGGGAGCATGAAATTGTCCAAAATGTCTTGGTATGCTGATGCCTTTAGGAGTTCCCTTCACTGGAACTAAGGGGCCAAGCCCAACCCCTGAAAAACAACCCCAAACCATAATCCCCCCTACACCAAACTTTACACAATGCATCCAGGCAAGTACCGTTCTCCTGGCAACCGCCAAACCCAGACACGTCCATCAGATTGCCAGACATAGAAGCACGATTCGTCACCCCAGAGAACACGTCTCCACTTCTCTCTAGAGTCCAGTGGGGGAGTGCTTTACACCACTCTTTGGATTGACGCTTTGCATTGCACTTGGTGATGTAAGGCTTGGATGCAGCTGCTCGGCCATGGAAACCCATTCTATGAAACTCTCTACGCACTGTTGTTGTGCCAATCTGAAGGCCACACAAAGTTTGGGGGTCTGTAGCTATTGACTCTGCAGACAGTTGGTGACTTCTGCGCACTGTGTGCTTCAGCATGCGCTGACCCCGCTCTGTCATTTTACGTGGCCTACCACTTTGTGGGGAGGGGGTGGGGGGGGGGCAAAAAAAATTATCTTTTCAGGAAATGTTTTCCCCTGGCTAATACATCTAAGCCACAGCCAAACAGAAGGTTTCCTTCAAACGGTAAGCCACAAAGTCCAGGATTGGAAGATAAATCTCCTTCCCAGGAATTTAACCACCTAGCAGAGCTAAGAAGATGCGAAAGATTGTGAAAGATGCTGAGATACTCTCTAGCCACAGATCCATATTTCTGGCTACACATGTGGCTACAATTGCTGGAGCCATTGAGGCATTAGCATCCCAGGCTTTCATTAACAAAGCTTCCGCTTTCCCATCAATCTGCTCTTTTATGGTACCAGCATTTGCGAAAGAAAGATCAGCCTTTTTTGAGACCTGGGCCAAAGAAGCGTCCAATTTGGGACATTTAAAGTATTTTTCTTTGACTTCTTTGCTAAAGAAAAAATTCCTTTACCATGCTCTAAATCTTTGGTTCTCAACTAGTGGGTCGTGACTGTGTTCAGTGGGTCACCACGTGCCTTCTAGTTTTCTAGGTGAGAGGCTCCTCTGCCTCCCCCTAGCGCAGCATTGTCCATTCTTACACCAAGCAGCCATTCAAAATTTGTTGACTTGAGGTAGGGTGGGCTGGGGGTATGGCGATAAATGAGCTCCCTCCATACGTGCATTGCTTATAGCTCCCTCGCATGTCCTGTAGAGGTGCCTGGACTGGAGTGACATCACATTCTGGGGCTCCTGGCACCTCTACAGGCAGACATGTGAGCTGCACAAGCAATGCACATGTGGATGGAGCTCTATCACCGCACAGCAGCCCACACCGCCGGTCATTCCATTGCAGTGCAACTTGGGTCGTGACTTAATAACCGAGGACAAATGTGGGTCCTGAGGTTACACAGGTTGAGAACCACTGCTCTAAATGACAAATTTTAGCTCTGGCTCCTTCAATTCCGCAGCAACCAACTCCTTACGTGATTGGTGGATAGGGAAGACTCTGCCCTGTGGTTCAAGCAAACCCCTATACACTTTATCCTGAACTGAAACAGATCTAGGAGGATCAGGAATGTGCTCAGTAGCATAAATTGCTTGCAACAGATAATGCATCTCTTCCTATAGAAAAACAGGTTTGGACGGATGTATTTCCACATCCTCCTCCACCATCTCCCCTTCTTCCAGGGAGTTATCAGAAACCAAACCTTTTTTCCGATATACCCCTGTCCAAAGCCTCAGTAATAGGGGCTGTCCTGTACGGTCCCAAGCCTGAACTAGAACCAGAAGGACCCGTTATAACAGGAACAGAAGAAGTAGATGTTAACATTTCAGAAATTACATTTTTAAAAGATTGTACTGTAGATACCATCTCCACCTCATATTTTCTGAAAAATCCTTCATAGGATTGGAAGAGTCACTAGCATCGAACTTATTAATGCATGATTCACACAGAGGTTTTTGACACCCAGAAGAAAGCTTAATATTGCAACTGCCACCGCGTTTTTTTTAAACTGTTTTGGAGCTGTGGCTGCTGGTTGAACAGATGTTTTATTTTATCAGGAGAAGGGTCCTAGAGGGAAGGCAAAACAGCATACATAAATCAGCTGACTGTCTTTTCTATGCCCCCTCTAAGACTGTCCACCGTACTGCTAAAGAGCCTCATGGTTACTTACCATGTCCTTGGCTCGAGCAGTAGCGGCTGTCATTCTGCCATCTTCGTTCATATTGGCAGCTGAAGCCTCCTTCCCCAACTATTCTCCAATGGCCACTGTATTCAGTGCAGCAGCGTCGGCATTAAATGCAGAGGAGCGCACAGCAGAAGTGACCTCAGCCCCGCTTCAGGAAATGACGATGCCGTTATGAAGAAGCTTGAGGTGCACTCCACCCCTCGCTAGCACGAAAACATTCGCCGCCGAAAACAGCCTCAACACCAGCTCTGGACTTCATGTCTGCCGCAGTGACCCAGACAGGGCTAACAAGCCAGGGCATCGGGATTCACCTTCAGCCAGGGAAAAATGAATACCCTGGCATAGGAAAGGACCCATAATCTGAGGCGAACTCTCAATGTTCAGGACCTATCCAAAGTCCTTCAAGGTCCTCAGCTTGACTGACCCATTGGAGTCCAAAGGTCAGAGAGGTCTGTCTGCGGAAGCAACAGATTGTCCAAGTAACCGATGATCAGGATAACTTTGACATAAAGAAGGCCCAGAATCAAAGCTAAGACCTTTTGTGAATACCCTTGGAGCCAAGGCAAGGCAGAAGAGACACAAACAGATAGTCGTGTTCACCTATGGCAAAATACAGAAAGCGTTGGTCATCTAAAAATATAGGTATGTGTAAATATACATCATAGGTTGTTGGATGCTATGAAGTCTCCATGTAAAATGTCTTTAAATCCAGGATGGGACAAAGGTCACCCTTGGGTTATGGAACTGTAAAAGGGTTTAAAGCTGCTGCTGTGTGGTCCTGAGTCGGAAGCTGCTGCCAAATGATCTTAACTAAAGAACACACTAAAACTTAGGAATGATGGCAATTAAACTGCAACAAGAAAGAGGAAACATCCATCACTTAAAGACATGAGCAAAAAGACATGAGCAAAAAATTGAGGATTTACTGGAGTGGAAGGTGTTACATGAGGGTCCTCTCAGCTCACAACTGGCCAGTGTCCAATCACCCGATACCTGTACAGGTGAAACTCATAATTAGAATATCGTGCAAAAGTTAATTTATTTCACTAATGCAACTTAAAAAGGTGAAATTAATACAAGAGATAGACTCATTACATGCAAAGCAAGATAGTTCAAGCCGTGATTTGTCATAATTGTGATGATTATGGCTTACAGCTCATGAAAACCCCAAATCCACAATCTCAGAAAATTAGAATATTACATGCAATCAATAAAACAAGGATTGTACATAGAACAATATCGGACCTCTGAAAAGTATAAGCATGCATATGTACTCAGTACTTGGTTTGGGCCCCTTTTGCAGCAATTACTGCCTCAATGTGGCGTGGCATGGAAGCTATCAGCCTGTGGCACTGCTGAGGTGTTATGGAAGACCAGGATGCTTCAATAGCGGCCTTCAGCTCTTCTGCATTGTTCGGTCTCATGTCTCTCATCTTTCTCTTGGCAATGCCCCATAGATTCTCTATGGGGTTCAGGTCAGGCGAGTTTGCTGGCCAATCAAGCACAGTAATCCCACGGTCATTGAACCAGGTTTTGGTGCTTTTGGCAGTGTGGGCAGGTGCCAAGTCCTGCTGGAAAATGAAGTCAGCATCCCCATAGAGCTCATCTGCGGAAGGAAACATGAAGTGATCCAAAATCTCCTGGTCGACGGCTGCCAGTTGACCCTGGACTTAATGAAGCACAGTGGACCAACACCAGCAGATGACATGGCTCCAGGGAACCCTTTGCAGGTGTTATGGCTTAATTAGCTGATTAGAGTGGGACACTTTGAGCCTAGAATATTGCACCTTTTCACAATATTCTAATTTTCTGAGATTGTGGATTTGGGGTTTTCATGAGCTGTAAGCCATAATCATCACAATTATGACAAATCACGGCTTGAACTATCTTGCTTTGCATGTAATGAGTCTATCTCATATATTAGTTTCACCTTTTAAGTTGCATTAGTGAAATAAATGAACTTTTGCACGATATTCTAATTATTCGAGTTTCACCTGTATATTACCCAGACGTTTATGAATCTGCCTGTGTCCTGTACGATTAAGATAAAACATTTACCGATATAAAAATGTCTGGAATCACAGTTTAGTGCTTACCTTACACTTAGGTATGTGAACATTGCAAAGACTCCCTACCTTTGTCCTTGAGTGTTAAAATGACAGTCTGTCCCTCATTAAAAGAATCCACATTATGCTCAACAACTAGTCCCTGCAAATCTGTAGAGGTATAGGCCTGTAAAGAGAAAAACAGATTTCTGCATTCATATTAGGCTTAAGAATATATTTGGTAGAAGAAACAAAAAAGGTCACAATCTGGTACAAGAATATTGGGTCTTCTTTGTACTGCAATAAAAACTTCTGACTAAAACAAATAGGATATTTGTGCACCTACCGTATTTTCAGACGGACATAGAATTTATTGAAGATGAGAGGTTTTTAGCATTCTAGAAAATCTCTTCCATTGAATGTTAATTCCCCCCCACCTTAAAGAAACCAACTTAAAAACTGCTAAACAAACTATGTGGTTCATTTTACCTTTATAATCAGTTTAAAGACTAACCTTGTTTTGCCCAAATTCCTCCTCCACAAGATTAGATACACCAAACTCTTCATCCATTTCTGCCAGAAGTTTTTCCTGTTAAAACAAGGATAGTGCCATGTAATGATGCATTCCTAAACCCACGGCTCAATTTGTATTTGCTCACTTTAGAAGCAATACATACCCTTTTCTCTGCTTTCTCTTTTTCTACTTGGAGCTTCCGACTTCTCTCAATCCAAGCAGCTGTATCATCTAACCATAGCTCATCCTCCCCCAAGGATTTTATTTTACTGAAAAAGAGAAGCATGGAGGAGTGAGGGAAGAGTAGACCGTATTCTTCAGGTGATTGGAAAATCCAGTACAACGCACTTTTGCTTTCTTCAACACCAGTGTGCTATCTGGCAGCAATTTAGTTAAAAGAATGTTTTAGAATATTCACAGAATCCCCCAAAATTTACTGCCACGTCCAACAAGAGTGAATACTTACCCTAGTTTCTGGTTCAGAATCCTCTTCTCTTTAGCAGCTGCTAATTTCTCTCTGAGCTCTTGCTGTTGTTTCAGAACTAGTGGGTTGATGACAGCAGCTGCAACTGGGTCTTCTTTAGTGCCACTTTCTATTTAAAAAAAAAAAAAGAAATGGAACACTGTCCAGACATTGTAAATGAGAACAAATATTAAAGTAAACAAAAATATACCTGTTTTGGCGGTATTAATTTCCAGGGGTTTTAAACCAAGTTTTGCACGAAGTTTACTAGAAAAAAGGAGAAAAAAAAGAAACTAAAATGTTCTGTATTACAACATTTCAGCTTCAGCTTAAGCTTATTACAGATTTCAATATGTGAACTATTTTATCTATTAAAGCATTTGTAATTCTGTAAACTTTTGTGATCCAGACACACAGTACAGCCAGGTACTCAACCTCCACTAAAGCAACAGTAAAGCTGTCAAGAGGCTACCACTCTGCTAACTGGACATATAAGAACTAGCAGTAGGGCTGCAACTTTAAGATTTTCATAGTCGATTAGTTGGCCGATTTTTTCGAATTGGATGATAAAAAACAAAACGCACATCTTTTATTAAAAATAACATACACAAATGGAGTGTTACAAACATAAAGGTGTACTTCAGAAAACAAAAAGGTTTATTCAGAAACATGGTCACCGTGTCAAATAACCCTTTCTTCACAAATGAGGTTTGCTAGTGGCTATACTAAAACAACCCTTAACTAAACGTGCAATACTAGAAAGAACTTGGCACTGATTCAAATGGGGGAATCAGGCCAAAGTAGTTATAAAAGGGTCGGAGTAGCGACTTGGTTCAATAAAAAAAAAACCAACACTATTTTTAGACAGTACTAATAATTGTACACAAGTAACAACCACGTAACACTAAACCTCCACCTTGCTATAGACTAAAACATTGATATAGACAACGTGGTCTCCTTCACTCACATCCCTCACTCACACGGACTGGTTGATAAAATTCATGATTGCATGCCGGTGGAGCTCAAAATGGAAACAGTATCCAAGAAGTAGCTTTTTGAAACGAAAAAAGGATCATTATCCAGTAAATGGTAACAAAGAGTCGATCACATCAATGATAATGTGTGATGAAATGATCCACTTCTCCAAATGTACGGGATACTGAAATACACACTTTCTGAGGAGACAGGGGTGTGGGAAATGAACCGGAACTCTGAGCGGTTTTTACTAGTATTGTTCTCACCGACCCATAATCAATTCCCCTTGTATTGTCAGACAAATAATAAGGGTGGAAATCATTTCTATGTATTCCTCATTGAAGGTGTACTAAATAGTCTGGTTGCACGTTGGCCGCAGACTCATTGTCCAATGTAGTTTTATTAAAAGGAGAACTATGGGGTCAGTGTTTTTCCCCATAGTTCTCCTTGGGGTAACGGGAGGACACAAACTAGCGTCCTCCCGTTACCCTAAGCTCAGTATACCGCGAGCTACAGCTCGCGGTATACTGAGACGCCGCACCTGGAGCGGAACCCCACTTAGATGACGGGATCCGCCCAGCTGCGTGAGTGACAGCTGGCTCTGCCTATCTAGAGGCAGAGCCAGCTGTACCCGCCCCCTCCCCCGTCCGTTCCGCCAGTCAGCGCTGGCAGATCGGAGAGGGGAATCCAGCCCCCCCCCCTGTCACGGCGGGGATGAGTATGTTTTCCCTCACCTCCCGATCTACTGAGCTGACCTGTGACAGTCTCATTGTCACAGGTCGGCTTAGAACTATGAGGTGAGTGGAAATCACTCAGGTCATAGTTCTCCTTTAACTCAAATAGTAGCTCGACAACGGAAGTCCCATCTAAGGAGCAGTCTCATAATTTCCAGTGGACAGTTTTGAATACAGAATGGCACACCTTTAGAGACAGTCCCGGAATAAATGGAGAAGCACTTAGTTATAGTTTTCACAGGTTTATAACCGTGTGCCCCAGTATGCTGAAATCATTCAGAATGTCCAGACTCTAGATTCCCTGCATGCATAGGGTTAGCATACGGCTTAACCGGAGTGCTCCGTCGTTTTCTTTATAAGAGTTAATCAGTTTAACGTTGGATTTTCAGTGTAATCTGAGTAGATATATTGCGGCTCCTTCCTCCGGTGTTATTACCTGACAAGCAGGTGTATAGTCAGCCGTGGGTCCTCTGTATTGCATTGACGCGTTTCGCCCCACCTATCTTCCCAGGGCTTCGTCAGAACGTTCTTCACTCCAGTTAAACAAGCGGTATGCTAACCCTATGCATGCAGGGAATCTAGAGTCTGAACATAATTTATTTCTATTACATGGGGGCTCACAAGCCCCTTATGTGATAGCACATTGGCGATGACAGGTTCTCTTTAATGTGATATTAGGGGGTCTTTTAGACCCCTAGTGTCACCTATCTACCTCAATAGCTTTAGCTGGGGAATGTAAATACAGCAGATACTGGCTGGGAGCCATTTTAAAATGCAACAGCCAATAGCAGGCTGTCTATTGCTCCCACCCACTGCCTGATGTCAATCAGCAGAGGGGGCAGCATGGCGGTGCCACAGGGGGAGCAGAGCAGGCCAACAGCAGTATCTCCTCCCCACAGGACGCCAGCTGCAGCAGCTCCCTGTGAGGGGGAGAACGGAGAGCAGAGCAGAGGCGTGGGTTGAGGCTGGAGGGAGATCGAGTTACGGAGCTTTCCTCAATGCTGGGCACTGGCTGCAGGGGTCTGTGTCCCCTCTAATCCCTGTTGAGAGCAGCTGAGATCAGAAGGAACACAAAACCTATGAAACAACTAATCGATAGAGAATCGTTGACAACTATTCTCATTATCAATTATTATCAAATTAATTGTTGCAGCCCAAACTACTAGTGCACTATCATTGCTCTGTTCTCTTCTCCTGTCGGTAAGTGTACTGTCAGCACACGTGCAGTGCAGCAGAGACCGATGGCTCTTACTGCTGGCCTTCCCTCCCTTCGAGTTTCAGTGTTGCTTTACAGTAGATTAGGTGAGGGATAAGTAATAAGTTCCAACAACATTTTTTCATTAAAAAGTACACAACTTTCCATAACACATCGAACACAACACATAACATCTACTTCTACAAGTGTAACCTCATTTTACTCCCAACATAGCCAAGTCTTTACCCTTTACTAACCTTTCCTCAGACTTGTCTAAATGTCCTATCTGGAATCCCAATAGCAGGGATATTTAGTACAAAAAAAACAAACAAACACTGTTCCTGTTTCAGAGGGATCACGATGACTACACAAAATGATGTTTAAGCAGCACTGAAATGTGATAGCAGTCTTATCTTAGAGGACTCCGCTGCAGATCTCTATTGTACAGGGTCTGTAACTCAGAAAATGTTGAAGACACTAGATAAGTATATTAGGTGTGATTATATGAGTTTATATGAATATAAAAGGGTTTTATAAACACATATTATAGATATATATCTATAGATCTAGATCTATAGATCTATATATTACACATACATATACACACAGGCATCTATAGATTTGCAATGGATCTATTCACCTTTTGCATTTAGATGCTTTTATTTGCAGTCAATTTACCTGCGTTTAGAAAGTCAGGTGCATTCAGGAATCGATTTTAACATTCAAATACACCAAAATGCATGTAAATGCAATTTGATTCTGGGATTTGGCACCAGATGCATCTAAACTCATATGCATGTAAATATGTAATTTAACACATGTAGAAGCATAAACACAGCATCTACCCTAAAAGATTTTCCTCTGCATATAGAGCACAAAAAATGCAAATTGCAAGTGTGAATGAGACTTAGTCTTTCTGGAAATTATGGTTAACAGTCTATTAACAAATGGCAACAATTTCTCTCAACACAGGTTTCCTTTCATACATACTTTGTCTCCTCAATGCTTAGCGATGAGTCTCCACCTGCAGATTTGGGAGCACCAACTGAAAAACAGTAATTGCAGTTATACATTTATAAATAGATGTAACATGTATATATAGTACACACACATGTATACAGTGAGTATACATAGTGCAAGATTTCACATGCCTGACAAAGATGTCCTACGTGGCTTTGAAATGTTGCACTGACACTCAATGTGATCACAACAACATTTGGACCGTTGATCGATGGTGTACTGGCGACATGTGTACATGCTGGCAGTTATTACAGCATGTTTTTACTCTTGGCCTTGGAACGCATGCAATGACAATATGTGGAGTGAGGAGCAGATCCAACACAGGTGAAATCTGTGTTCCTTGATAAACTCTAAGAAAAGGATTTTTACAGGGAGTACAAATATCCCATTATCCTAAATCACTCTTCATACATCCAAAGCTTACATCCTCAGATGCTTGAACCAAAGCAGAACAGAGAGATGACAGGACAATGTCTTGGTTAAGGTGGGGTATCTTTCAGGAGTCTTATGGCACCCCAAACACAACTCTCACAATATCATGCATTGTGGTGCAGTTGAAAAAAGTGGTGCATGCAACACACATTGGTTGCTAGGACTACTGGGCACCTACTGACTGCAGAGGAGAACCCCAGACGTCACTGGTTGCTAGGACGCCAGCAGTCCTAGCAATCAAGGGCTTAAGAGAAACTCGGTGCACATACGTACCAGTCACCGACCTGCACTCGGCTATGGCTTGCAGTGGATGCACCATCCTTGGAGGCTGGTGCATCCACTGTCAGCCAGCCATAACGGAGCGCAAATCGGCCGGCCAGGCAGCCACAAACCAAGGGCTGGATAAAGCCCGCAGGCTGTAAAATGCCCAGGTATGACTTAGGAGGTGTGCCAAGGCAACATGGAGATTTATTAGTCTTTGCAGAGAGGATGGAACAACAGGAAGCGGGGCAGAGGCAGAGACTGAAACGCTAGCCTGTAGCCCCTGGAGACCACAACTGCTGTTAATCTAGGTGTCTGCAAAGACTAATAGAAGATGGAGATCACCAGCACTCCAGTAGTAGCATTAATCCTTCTGCTTATTTATTGAAGTGAAATGTCACAAACATGATATAGCCTATGGCAGCAGTGGAGCGCTGGTGATAATCTTCAATAAGTTTGATGCACGTATCGCCATCTGTGATTATCACTGCGAGCACCTCAGTTGTTCAGGTCCAATCGCTGTAAGGAGTGAAGGGTACAAATCCATAACTGCAAAGACAAAGACATCACCCAACTTAGGGGAGGCATCTCCTTATTGTGAAGAGCACTAGTTTACAGGCTTGGAGGATGTGGAAGCTGAACTGGGTACCAGATTTGGGCTGGATTTAGAGGCTTGGAAAAAAAGAAAAAAAAAAAGGAACTTTTACTCCAGGGGCAGAATACGTTTTGCCAGATGGAGGCTTAGATTTTCTTTATTGTGGTAAAAAAACACTTTTACTGCTGGGGACATCTTTAATAAAGTTATCGAGTGATGGTCCAAAGAGGCATTCTCCATCAAGAGGGATGTAGACCAAACACTTTACATTGTTGTTCTGCAGGCCAGCATTTTCCTCTGCATTTTAATAGGACACAACACTCATTCTGAAAGCAAGACAGACAATGTCCAGTAACCCATCAGCATAGTAGTATAATGCAACAAGCATAACTTGCAAATGCTCCATAACTCAATGATCATTAAAGGAGAACCATGAGGTGAGTGATTTCCACTCATCCTCATAGTTAGAGCCGACCTGTGACAAAGAAGCTGTCACAGGTCAGCTCTATTGATCGGGAAGTGAGCAGAAACATGCAACGATCCGCTTGCTTCCCGATCGCCTCCCTGCAGTGATCGGTGACTGTCAGTCACCACTCACCGCAGGGATTCCCCCCCTCTCTCATCCTCCAGCTCAGTTGGGGGCCACTGGACAAATTTTCTCCTCCCATGGGGGTCCACTTGCCAAATTTAATAAAATTTTATACTTCAAAATAAAATTTAACTACTAATACCAGTTTTAATGTCCAGTGTTAACTGAGAACTATGAGGTGAGCGATTTCCACTCATCCTCATAGTTAGAGCCGACCTCTGACAAAGACGCTGTCACAAGTTGGCTCTAATAAATCGGGAAGGGAGCAGAAACATGCCGCCAATCCGCTCACTCCCCGAACCTCTCCCTGCTGTCAGTCACCACAGGGATTTCCCCCCTCCCCTCTCCGATCCTCCAGCGCTGAGTGGAAGATCAAACAGGAGAGGGGGCTGTACTCCGCACCTGTGGTTCCCAGGTGGCAAAATACGCACAAACGTACTTAATGGCCATAAGAAAGCTCAAGATAGAAATGTTCAATAAAACGCTCTTACCTAAATGCATCAATGTTGTATCTCGGTACTCACCGATACAGAGTACCGATACTTTCGCTAGCATGGAGCCGACTTAACGGCCAGTCTGGAAGTTGGGAGGAGTGTCATTACCCGCCACCTGGCTTCGTGATTGGCCAGGAAGTCGGCTCCACGCTGTTCGGCCAGCTCAATGCTGATTGTTTGGGAAGCCGGCGTCCCAGTCAATCAGGAAGTCAGTCATTACCCGCCGCTCTGCTTCCTGATCGGCCGGGAAGCCGGCTCCATGTTCCCTCGTGACACTGCCGGTCAGAGGAAATCTCTCTTTGACTGGAGGTTTCGGTATCGAGGAAGGTATCGGAGCATTTGGGAAAGTACGAGTGCTCACCCAAATACTCGGTATTGGCACCGATACTGGTATCGGTGCATCCCTAGTGTCCTAGCTGATCACATGTGCAGCCCCATGTCAACCATGGCCCTTATATAAAGGCTAAGGTAGCACCATCCTTGGCAGATAGGACAGGAGGGTTTTGTTCTTTTATAAGACTCTTCTAAACTCCAGTATCAGTGACCCAACTGCTAATTCCAAGGAATGATCACACAACCAGAACTACTTTCCAGAGATGGTAAGATCAGAGGCCTCCATTTATATGGTCACTATGCCCCATATATACAGCAGTAAGCAGTGCATTTTCTAAGATCATTAATTTAATGCAAAATAAATGGCATAGCAGCAGTATAGGGAACCTCAATTATCAAAAGTGGTATGCTGACTGCAAAGATTTTGCTTGCTTACTACCAGACCTGCTGTTTCATCCTTATCCAAGACTGGCAAAATTAACGTATCCGACATTGATAATTAAAGATGTACAATAGTTTTTACACAGATATGTAAAAGAGACAATACCATTTCAACCTAGAAGTTTAAATATATAAAAATACTGTGATTCATTGATCAGGCTCCAACAAACAGAATTATCAGTTTCACTTACTCTGTTCAAAAGAAAACTCCAACTTCTCCTTTTTTATTTTTCGAGAGTCTGCATCCTTGGTGGACCGAGACCTTCCATCCCTAGGTCTGTCCCTCTCCCGGGATCTCTTCCGTCTTTCCCGCTCACGTTCCTTATGTTTGTGCTTTTTGTGCTCCCGGTGACGATCTTCCCCACTACCTCCAGCAAAGGAGCCATCTCGGTCTCGTTCCTTTTCCTTATGCTTCTTTGAAGATCCCATAGCTATGGAAAAATAAATATTAACAACTGTGCAAGTAATGTCATAAGTCCTGCTTTAACTGTGCTTTCTCACATTGTAAAAATATGGTGGCATAATTGCCCTTATACTACATAAACAGAAAAATCTTTTTCAGCTTAGCAGCCAGTTCAGCCGCTAAATACCAGCACTGTCATTCTGGACTGTCTCCATTTGATTGACTAGAAAGTGTCAACCACATATATTCTACAATAAAGCAGTTCTGCGATGTGTAAATTAAGGCCAACATACATTACAAAATGCAGCATTATTGCCTAGTCCCAAATACTGGCAGTTAGATCACCCTATGGATTATAACAACTTTTTTGGGGGTTTCCAAAGCCTCTGCTCACGATTTCCTAAATCCATTTGCATTTAGGAAATTGTCACTTTCTTGCTCAATATTGGATTTAAATATAAGCAGAAGAAGCATAAATGTAAACAGGAAAAGGCTCCACAACAGTGGAAAAAAGGAGTCAACAAGTCCATATACCTAGATGTTATAAACCCCTTAACTGCTAATGGCTTATTGCTGTACCCTCTCCTATGTGAGATACAACATTTACACACAGATATATTGGGGGGTTTTTAAGTGCCAAATACGAAGACATTTTTGCTTATGTTAAAAGCCGTTCCACAGTATTCATATTAGAACATGAAAAAACATGGTTAAAAAGGAGAACTATGGGGTCAGGGCTTTTCCCCATAGTTCTCCTTAGGGTAACGGGAGGACACAAACTAGCATCCTCCCGTCACCCTAGGCTCAGTATACCGCGAGCTACAGCTCGCGGTATACTGAGATGCCGGAGCGGATCCCGACATCGATGTCGAGATCCGCCCAGCTGCGTGAGTGACAGCTGGCTCTGCTTATCTAGAGGCAGAGCCAGCTGTACCCGCCCCTCCCCCGTCCGTTCCGCCAGTCAGCGCTGGCGGGGAGGGGGGAATCCATCCCCTCCCCTGTCACGGCAGAGAGCCGTGACAGGAACGAGAAGTGAGCGAACACCGGCATGTGTTCACTCACCTCCCGATCTACTGAGCCGACCTGTGACAGTCTCCTTGTCACAGGTCGGCTAGAACTATGAGGTGAGTGAAAAGCACTCACCTCATAGTTCTCCTTTAAAAACATTTACATTACTTTGCAGCTGCTTGTTTTTTGAAATACCACCTATAGTCACAAATTTTCTGCTTTTTTTTTTAATTCTAAACAGTATACATACTATACAAGAAACTATCAATAAAAATGTTTCAAACATGTGGTTTGTTTGTTTGCTTTGGTCAGTCATTTGTAGTTCTTCAGGAACAGAGATATTTTCAAAACAACTACAATGGCTGAAATGAATCTGGTGGCGGAAATTTCCTCCGGGTGGTGGGGGCCGCAGGGAGACATACAAGTGGAATGGCTGGTTACACTGGGCACCTCTATGTCTTTCTATTGTGAAGCACCATATATGCAAGTATACAATTGGTGGGAACTTGCATTATTTCCCCAGTTGTATTCTGAGCTGCCTCATACAGAGGACATATTGCATATATCCACAATATTGCTCCAAATGTTCACTGTGCCTGTAATGGTGCAGCTTCTCCAAATGTCAGTAATAATGCAGCTCCTCCAGTATTCAGATCAGCTCATGCCGTTGGGTATCACTGCCTTCACTGTATCCCCAGTGACCGCTCTCACATGGATCCCGGTCTCCAACCCCCAGCACACAGGGCAGTGCAACAAAGGGGTGTGGTGCTGTGATAACCCATCAACCCAATATAATCTATTAGAAAATTCTCCCTCTTATGTAACCTATGACTTAACATTTCTTTTCCTTTTAAACCATGGCCTCCTCCCTAACTCTAGAAGTGATTTGCATCATGGCTGCATCGTGACCTATTCACGTACAAACACATTGTCTGTAATTTTAGTATAATACTAAACAATAGAGCAATAATGTTTTTTCTACTTTTAGTCTGCAACTCTAAACTGTTATGACAGCCTGAATATAAGAAGCCAAAGCACCCCCTACATGTACCATGAGTTCACAAACTGTGCCCTGCATTATTTAATTGCTAGCCATGCTTGAATGACAAAATAAGCCCCAGGATAAATCTGGCCAGCCTATCTTAAATTGAACCTGTACATGCAGAGCTAATCAACAGGTTACACTTTAATGCGAACCTCCCCAGCAGCATACTTGCCTTTGTTTTGTTCAGCCGTCTGGAGTGAAGGTAACCCTGTGTAAGCTACATGCAACTTACACAGGGATATGGGCACCAATTGGTGACTTGCAAGATGCAGGCTAGTTCTGCACCCCAACCAGCTCCATTTCTGTAAAGTATAGACACTCTAGGGCAGGCGTCTCAAACCTCCGGCCCTCCAGCTGTGGTGGAACTACAAATCCCATGAGGCATTGCAAGATTCTCACAGCCACGACTCTCGGAGAGATGCATCATGGGATTTGTAGTTTCACCACAGCTGGAGGGCCAGAGGTTTGAGACCCTGCTCTAGGGGATGGGTCTCAAACTTAGTTGGGGGCCACTGGACACATTTTCTCCTCCCGTGGGGGTCCACTTGCCAAATTTAAAAAGATAATTATACTTCAAAATAAAATTTAAAAAAGGAGAACTATGAGGTGAGTGCTTTTCACTCACCTCATAGTTCTAGCCGACCTGTGACAATGAGACTGTCACAGGTCGGCTCAGTAGATCGGGAGGTGAGCGAACACATGCCGGTGTTCGCTCACTTCTCGATCCTGTCACTGCTCTCTGCCGTGACAGGGGAGGGGATGGATTCCCCCCTCCCCG